GTTTCAGTCACAGCAAATTGTACAAAAAATCTAGAAAGATTTAAGCTTACATTTCGTTTAACGTTTAAAGCGACCTATCAACGCCTACAACCATCATGTTTTATACGAACCTCGCAAACTTTTATACACGTTCTCTTGTGATACCTGCGAAAGTATTCAGTCTAATTTCCGCTGAGATTTTTTCGGAGAATCTGATCGATTTTCTCTTACATTGTGTGCTGAGACTGACACTTATCACCTCGGGCAAGGCTCCGTCGCACGGCCCACACAACCAAAGCGAGCAACTGAGCTTCTTGTATATGTGCGTGTTAAAACACACGAAAGGACTGTAAGCACACTTCACTCTGATTGGGCAGAAAAAACAAAGATTTTCTGGCACCAATAAGATGCCAGAATGACTGTGACCGTTTGGAACTAGTCTCTTAAGACAATGTCCCCAGGGGCTCTTCTGCCGTTAACTTGAAATCGACTCACAGCCCCTGGGTCTCCGAGGATGGTGTAGACTCTAAATATCCATAATAAATAGATTTAGCCAAGCCTAAAAGAGGAGCTCCCAAGCTTGTAATATGAATGATAACATAAAAGATATGTATTTGCCAAGACTCGCCTGAGACACCCCTCCCTTCGTTTTGATAGTCTCCCCTACCCTACCCGTACAATCTAAAGGCATGTACGTCAGTACGTACATACGCTCGGTCAGTCACGTGACAACCAAATGAAAAGAGGTTGACCATATTCCATGGGTATGGGGCTCTGCCTCGCGTGCACTTTGAGGAAGTGAAGTTCGGAAAATCATGAACCCAAGAATATTCCTAGATGTTTTTTAGTCAGGATGAAGAAGTAACTCAGGCCTGCTACAGCTAATCTGCTAAATATACTGAAAAATCATGTATGAATTCTTAATCTAACAGAAAAAAGGAGGCAAAAGTCAAGCAACAAATGAAAGATACCTGTTGCATGGAGACTTAGCCCAGTAACAGCTTGATCATGAGCCTGAAATAGCAGAATACACAGATATGAGCATTTAAAGTATAATAATTGTTTTAATGAGACTGGTTTTTGCAAAAAGGGTTATAAGAAACATGTTGGGGAAAATTTCATTGAGAATACTATTATCACGAGATTTTTGACACTTACAGTTGAAGGGATTACTTTTTTCTTGAGAAGAAAACCTTTCAAACAAAAAAAAGTCTATTCACGTCAAAAGTACCTTAACTGTGTGTAAACAAGAAGCCTGTGGAATGGACCACACCCTGATGGTCGCATCTGCTGATCCAGTGAAACCAAGATCCTGAAAAAATATTGATATCATTTTTATTCTTGCATAGTGTACAAAACATCTGACACAATATATTGGTTATGCATACGAAATAAAGCTATTTTGGGAATTTTTTTTGTTGAACTGAATTTGTTGTTGTTTCTTTGGTATTTAATCAATTTTGCAGTAAATGGCTTGAACCCGGGGGTAACATGTGAAGGTGTACTCTGATCATCTGGGTGAGTGTAGTCCTGAGAAGGACTGTTGATGGTGGTAGTGACTGACGTTTCGACAACCTGTGCGGAAGTCATCATCAGAGTCGAGTGAATGACTGTTGTCAAAAGAATGTTCTTATTCCAATCATTTCACAAGAACTGGAATAAGAACATTCTACTGACAACAATCATTCACTTGACTCTGTACCACCGACAACAGTCCTTCTCAGGACTACACTCACCCGGACGATCAGAGTACACCTTCACACTTAATCAATTTTAACAGATTTTGAGGGCTAACAGGTACTTCCTCATACAGTTACTCCAAGGTATAAGGAGGCATAGTAAGAGTTAAGGTTCTTGTGTAATAGCAAAGGTCAAAGACTGTGGCAAGATCTTGGGCCAGGTCTAGCCCAAACATTGGGTAAAAATTTTGCACAAGAGCAAAGCTATTCTTTGGGGAATTGATTAAGATTTTCAAGGTAAAGAAGGCAAAATGATGGCACCTAACCAAAATTTAGCCTTTAATTCTTATAAAGGACATCAAAGATAGATATTCAGCACTCTGCATTTTCATGAAACTGACTGGCAAACACTTATCTCACCTCATGTGGATGATACACAACATTTGTAACCTTCTTTGTATGGCCTTTGAGAGTGGCAATGACCTAAACAACAAAAAGTAATTGAAAGAGTAAGATTGTTAGTGTCATACTTGGAATGAGTCCTACACATTTGGATGCAACATAGTTGGAGATCAATAAAGTGGTTGTAGTTTCAGGTTGTTTTACAAAGGGTTGTTTAATTTTTTATGTTCAAGTCATAGTTAAAACTAAACAGATTTCAAATTTTACCTGTTCTGAGTCACGATAGAACACCACTGCATTTTTGTCCAGGCCACCTGATGAAACAGAAAGTAGAGACACACTCGTTAACAGCTGCCTTAGCTGTGTAAAACCTGAGATCTGCACTTTCATCATCTGTTGTCAATCCTAGAAGTTATCAATATAAAACTAACCCTTACATTATCAACATATTGTCGATCTGATTGGCAAATTTGCCATTGTTGATAAGGATAAAGACAACGTTGCTTGCATCAACATATCATGCACTGAAAGAGTCATTTCATTTAGTAAAAAACAAATTGACAGTGGTTTAGCTTGGTCTGTACTCTTATCAACAATGATAATTCTCAAAACAGTGGTCAATTTGACCACTTTAGTGACCAATATTGTTGTCGATAAGAGTACAGCCCCCACTAAACCACTATTGATTTGTTAATCAGGACTTAGGACAGAGTAAGCCAAAATTATAATAATCAGCTTGGCCTCCCAGAGAGCTATTACTAAGGTTTACTATCCTGGTGCTCTGAGGAAAGCTTATTATGCTGCTCAAGAAATGAAAATAAAAATCATCTTTGTCAATAAATGAAGAACTGATAGTGCCTTTAGTTACAAGAAACACTCCTGACAATTACACAGTCTCAACAAATCCTGCTTGCTTGTCTCTCAACTTGCAATAAAAAAAACATGACAGCCAGATGAGAGTTTTCACTAGCTCTTAGGTATTGGACAGCACTTGTGTCACGCCATATTAGTAATGGAAAAATTGAGTACAAACCTGTGATAACTCTGGATGTATCTGCAGCAAATAAATCGAGAGCTAAGATTCCAGGATTGCTTGCACTGTGTAAGCCCTAGAAATTCATATTGAAGCAATATTGTTAAAAACAACAAATCACTTACTACATGCCTTTTTCCAATGACTATAGTGAGTAGCAAGCATTAGGCTAAAGTCAATGGGCTGTCCAGAAGATTCACCATGAGAAAATTTTTCAATTATTTTGTCACTGATTGGTTCATAAAACTGTCACTGTTGAATTCAATGGAAACCAGTTTAAAATCAATTCTGAAATTTCTCCATAGTTGAGGCAAGCTTTGAATTCTGGGCTTTCTGTATTACCAGTATTTACCATAGTTCTTATTTGTCCTGATTAGCTGTTATAATGATTAAAAGATTTTGGCTTTGAGAGATTCATTTGAAAATGCTCAAATTGTTAAATTTGTTCAAGCACACTGTCCTTCTATTTTCCTGTTCTTTCATTCTAGTTTCACTTTGAATGCCAACTTACTGCATGTGAGGAAATTGGTTTGTAAGATTGTATCTCCTCTGCTGTACTCAAGTATTCTGGAACCTTCTTGCCTCTCTGAATAGGATAAAGGAGAAAACACCATAGCCATTAGATAGCAACTTCACTAACTATGTCTCCATTAGTAGTCTTATGATTGTTGGGGCAATTACAAAGTATGTAACTTATACCCACCTTCTTACGCTCAGCTGTGAGGAGGGTAGCCTTGTCTTGTAACTAAAGTGAGAACAATAGCACAAAATTTATGTTGTCACTTTGTAATGCTCTGGGTGGTAATGGTTTTGAGACCTTTTCCATTGCAAAGCTAAAGATTAGGATAATAATATACTCAAAATATAATCATGCAATCCTGTTAACACCTAGCAGACACAAGTTTATACAAAGAGCTTTTGTTGCTTTTGATATCTTCACAAATGACCAACTTACTGTGAGAACAAATGTTGTCAATCACCCACCAAATTCTTTAACCTCTCTTTTTATAAGGCCTGAAAAATATCATCCAAGTAAAACATTTCACTTACTTTCTGCAGGACTTCTTCCGTCATTCCTTCTTCTTCACCAGGCTGAAAAGGAAAAATTCTAAGCTTTAGCTAAATGAACAAAATAGTTTGTGCATTTTTCTTTTGGAAAAAGCCTCTCTTAGCACAATAACTTCCACAAGTGATTAACATGTAACATTTCTCTGTAGTATCCATCCATCATCCAGCAAACAGGTAATGAGAATACTCAAACTTATCAAGTAGAAGTTGCTAAACTTGATGTAACACAAATTCTTGTAACTGATTTCTAAGGAAATGTGTAGAAGCTAGAAAGGAGAATTAACAACAAGATCTTGGGAGTTGAAGGGTTAAGAGATAAACATCTTAGCAATAAAAAGAGATTCCATGCTTACATTTCTTAAACATTAAGGCTTTCCTTACCTGGGCAGACACATCCATCGCTTCATCCATCTAAAACAAAATGCCAAATATGTTTTAAAGTTTTAAAGAGACGTGTTTGTAAAATGCATTTCCAAGGAAAAGTGTGGTTTACCGCTGGATGAGGGATGAAAGAAGCGGATAATGTTTTTCTCACACACAGCTGGGAGAATGGGTTCAAATGTGTGGGGGGTCTCCAGGTCACATGGCATTTCAAGGTTCAGTTCAGTTGTTTTGTTGCCTTCCGCCATTGCCTGACCTTCCCCACCCAACCACCCTCCATATGTTTTTAGTGATATAGGATTTCAAGTAGTGTCTCAGTTCTAGTTATTCGTGCATGTCAGTCTTCTGTATCTAGGCTCAGTTTCAGCTGTTTTGTTTGTGTTATAACCCTAATGGTTCATCGTGTTGATATAATAAAGGTCGGGCTGCATGGTCGGCTTGGCTCGGCTTGGTCGGATGGCTCCCAGTTGTGTGTGAGAAAAAGTATTGAAAAATCTTTAACATAGTGACTGTCATTTTCTACAATACCTGCACAGGAACAGCAGAGGGAACAACCACAGCCATACCAGCTTGTGGTTTGAGAGTTGCCAAAGCTAGAAACAAAAGTAGCAGAATTAGTATTAATATATTTACATGTTTTTGATAATTGGCAGATAAATCAATGGTCAAAATACCTTCACGAGCAGCAGTCACCTCCTTTGTTAATCGAGCGATGACGCGGCAAGCAGCATCATGCTGGTATAGAGCATGAGACAACTCTAAAACAAACATAAAAAAAATCATGTTGATGAAAAAGTTATCTGCAATTCTAAGAGTCATACAAGGTTCATTCTGAGAAATGACAGGTCACGATATTCTAACCACTAACAAAGTGCTCCTCTTTTCCCATACTCATCATAGTGTAGAAGTATAAAGTAATACTTACCTTGGCGAGCAGTCTGAAGTTGTTGTCGTAATGTAAAACTGTGCAACATGCAGGCATCCTAGAGACAAAAAAAATTAATAAATTTGGAGTGTAATCTTAGGGATAAAGACAAGGGTTTTTTTCTTTTGGTAATGTTTAAGTATTGACTTAAACAGTATGTTTGAGATCCAGGGCTCGACACTAACTTTTCAACTTACTAGCCAAGTGGTTAATGACAACTTAGATGTTACAACAATTTCAGTTCGCTTACCAGCCAATCTAGCTGGTGGAAATCAAAAGCCACAAGCCAAAACTAAATTTCTACTGGTCTGTGGCTAGTTGGCTACCATTAGTGTCGAGCCCTGAGATGTAGATCGAAATTTCAGTATTTCATATAGCATTATCAGCTCCTTAAAATTAAACTTATTACTTTAACAGTGTCAGCATCTATTGCAGATTTTGATAAAAGAAGTGATCCTCTGGCAGACCTGATGGCACACCTGACACAGGTGATTATCACATCTGATCAATATACCATATTGGTGATCACCACCTCTGACCATTATCCCATGAAGTGTACGGCATTTTTTTGAAAAGTTTCCTTCCTTACCCACTCATCCTGTAGTGCTTTCAGGATAGCTGGAATACTTGTTGCTGATGGTGGCCTGGGTTTGATCAATGGATTGACTAAAACAAAAATTCAAAGGTAAACAAGACAAAATAATAAAGTATACTTTAAAATTCAAAATTGGTATCCTTTTGAATCAAATCATCATAACACAAGTATTCTCACAGCTTAGTTAAAAAAGGCACTCTATAATAGAATCAAAGCTAAGTGGTTCTTCATAGAATGAGATCACAAAAGTGGATGTTAAATGAATGAAAATATGTTCCTCCATGAAATGGGTTTACACCTCAACTAAGAGGGATATTTGATTGAACCCTTAAAGACCTCTAAAAGATTGACATCTTAATTATCTATACAGCATCATAGCTGAATCAATAATTAAGGTCAAGAGAATAAAGGAAATAATCACCAACTTAAGAACCTCCTGATTGTTAAACAGATTCTCCTTAACATTTCCATGGGAAATGTATTGACAACAGTTAGGAGAATATGCATATTGGGTCAGCAGGGTTTGAGTTAGTAAGGTTCTTTCATATTAAAGGCCCATTTCCAACAGAGATGCCTTGCGCGCCCGGATCATTTTTCATATATGAAAAATATGCTATTTTCCTCGTAGTTGCGGAATTGCTTTGATATCTTCTTCCACCTTACTAATTAGGGCTTTCAAAGTTCCACCTTGGATCATGTGCGAACAACAAACTAACGTAGTATCTATATCAGTAAATAGTTTTTAATTCTTACATGCATGACGGTGAAAAATGTCATTTGAAAAGTTGATGCCGCTGAAGAAGCGGTCTAGAGGAAGGCCGAGTCTGCCCGGCTCGGCAAAGGTTATTCGACTTCGAGAGTCTGTGTATGATTTATGGAGGGCAAGGAAAACAACNCTCGCCGAACAATTTCCTTCAACATCAGGTAAGCTTTGTACAAGATTTATACACAGACTTGATTTATGATTTTTCAGTCTCAAATATTTAGCTGCAAATTTGTTCACTGTGTTCTTCACCAAATCTTTGTTTTTCTTTTTAATAGTGTTTGTGAATGACTAGCAGAGTTCGCCATTTAACAACAGCGCGATTCCAAAAAAAACAAATGACTGCAAAGGATCTCGGATGGAAATGAGCCTTTAAGAGCAAAAAGGCCTTAGTTAAACTAAATTCTTGAAAAATAACCTACATAAATGAAGGGTACTGGGTAAGAAAGAGTATTGACAAAAAATAAATAAATAAATAAATAACTAAATAAAAAAGAAAGAGTATTGACTTTTCATGTTATAAATTACCTTTGATGTCAATAAGCTGCTCCTCTGAAAGCTGTTCACCGCTTATTGGGTCAGTTCCATTTTCGGCAATATACTTTTCAATAAGCCTCCTCTCAAACACACAGTTTGAAGAAGGTGAGACACATGGGTGCTCAGGGACTTCATTGCTGACTGTGAATTGGACAAATTCATACAATATTTATTTCACTTACTTGACTTCAACAAGACTGCCAGTCTTTGTGAAATGAAGATTGTGAAGACAAATAGAGCCATCTACAGTATTTCAACGCACAACTTTGTTTACCTTTTTTGAAGCTACTTAGAGTCCATGCATGTTACACATATCCAACCGCCAAATTGAAGGATATGACGATAAAATAATCATAATATTTCATGAAGATGCTTTCTTACTTGCACTGATTACCATGTTAAACCTTGATCGCAATTTGAACTAAGAAAATGTTATCAATCAAATAGGTGGGAAGAAATCATAGCCTGCTGAGCAGAGTTAATCGAATTTCAATAAACTTTTTTCGAAGATTCTCAAATTTCTGATAGTACAGAATCGAAAGAATCAAATTAGCGCTCACTTTGCACGATCAAGCTTTAACAAGACTATCACACCGAAAAAATGACGGCGAGGTACCATGAACGCCATGAATTAAGGTGCCTGCACCTTAACATTACATCCGGAAACAACATTTCATTCACACCACCCTTACCAAAAATTATTACTACGAGAACACCGGCAAGAACTAACATGACATTACCTTGAATTTCGACATAGCACATCAAAATTCCCAATAGGAAAGACAGTGTGCAAAGAGTAGTTATTCGTTTAAGTGACAAAAGTAGAAATTACAAGATCGGATAGGTTTTAAGGCGGTTTTGAAAGGGAAGTCGAGGGTGACTTACTTGAACAGAAGAGCGCCATCTTGTTTCCTTACAAGCATGTGCAACACTAAAGAATTGTGGGATATTACTCATTCGCCCCAGTCGCCTCAGAACACACAGGAAGCACATCTTTCCACTCTCAGAAGACTACGAAGGAACAACACCTTAAATCAAGGGTTCATTTTCTAAATTGCCCCCGTTTTTTTTTTTACGGTAAGATTTCCGTGTAAACCTCATAGTTCAGTGTCCCTGTGGTTCGTGGATACAGAAACAAAAATTTAAAAAAACAACAGACATGGCAATATTTTTTGCATTTTATTTGTATATTCCTGTCAAGTGATGGTAAGCCTACTATTAGAAACACAGACAAGAATTCAAGCTGTTCATTTTTCTCTCTAGTTTTTGAATCCTAAGGTTCTCTTTAAAAATGAAGTTATGTTAACCTCAAGACTATATTTTCATTTTGTAACCATTGTTCCTGAAGAATTTCATCAGGTAATTGTGGATGAAGAGGTCAATTGACCATAATTTACATATGA